TGGGGATAGTTTGACTTCTTCCTTACCAATTTGGATGCCTTTTGTAGGACCCTTTCTTATGTTAATAAATTCATTTATTTCCTTTTACCCATGCATCCCATGCTCATTCACCTCCACGTATTAATAACCGATCTATTAGATTTAGTGCAGAGCTTTTCCTTTGTATATATTCTTATGAAATGTATATCATAGTTTTGTTTATATATGTTTTCAATTTATGTGAAATAGTATCATGTTATATTTCATCCTGACTATAAATTCTTTTCCTAAGTGTTCTAACTAAAGCACTATATTTTTAAGATCCATCCATGTTGCTTTGGATTTATTTAATCTACTGCTTCCAGTTGGAACATAATACTCCATGGTTTGCATCCCCCATAGTTACACATTCTCATTCCAAGCAGTGGACACTCAGGCTGCGTGGGTATCACACTTCTTACTGCCACAAATAAAGTTGCTTTCGTGTCCTCATACATGTCTCCCTCATGGACTGTGTGAGGATTGCTTTGGGGTGCACAGAGAAGAGTGGAATTGCTACTTTATAGGCTATACATAGACTTTTTTAAAAAATTAAATTCTATTTTACTAAGTATAGATGAGGTAAAGTTTATAGAAAACATAAGGGTATAAAATGTTCCCAATTGGTTTAGTGCTACCAAGGTAGCGGAGAAAAACCTCATGGGAAGTTTTTTTATGGTCAAGCCCACAGCAAATCAGAAACTGCATTCTAAAAGCCTTGGTAATGACCGTTATACATAGACTTTTTTTTTGCCAGAGTAGTGGCAGATGTACACACACACACACACACACACTCACTACCATCGAGTCGGATCCGACTCATAGTGACTCCTCCCTGGGTTTCTGAGGCAGTATCACTAAGGAAGTAGATTGCCCAACCTTCCTTCCAAGGAGTGGCTGGTGGGTTTGAACTGCCAGCCTCCTGGTTAGCAGTCAAGTGCTTTAGGCACTATGCTACCAGAGCTCCTGTGTCAGATGTAGGCACTAGTATTATCCCCATTGTATAGGTGAAGAAATGGAGGCTTTGGGAGTTTTAGTAAGTTACCCAAAATCACACAAATACTAGTTAGCACAGCTAGGATTCAAATTCAGGCAGTCTAGTTCCAAAATGTGTATTCCTAATGGCTACACCCTCATTTCTATCTGAATCTTTGAGATTTGAGGACATTTTAATAAAAAACGTAAAGATAAGTTTCATTGTTTTTAGTTTTCATGTACTTAGAACCTAGGAATTCAGGTGACCTAATCTTTTTTTCTCCTTTCCTCATAACTACTGTTTTTCTCTGACTTTCATATCTTGTGGGTAAGCAGCAATAAAAGCCGCAAAAATCATCCAGAAATGGTACCGAAGATACAGCATTCAGTTGAGGATCAGAGAGTATTGTGCTCTTAGCATCTTTGCGTGTCTGGAATACACTGATGAAGACAGTCAAGTGCAGGTCAGTTTTGCAAACATGTCTTTTCTTTTGGTAAAATACTTCCTTTTACCCCATCCTTGCCACTTTTACCCATTCTTATTAAAAGAATGAAAGGTTGGGTCTATTTTAAGCTGTGGAGCTTTGGAGAAAGCCTTTAATAGTAGATGTAGCAACACTGTTTTGGCACTAGCTATTGAGAGTGGATGTGATTTGAGGTGAGAGAGAGGATGATATTTCTCCGTTGTGAAGTTCACTGCTAGATGTCTAGTAAACTAATTACAAACAGTCTTACTCTGTTTTGGGGTATGTGTTCCAAAAGGAAGTAAAGTTGTTACTTTATGAAGGAAAATACTTTACAAAGTTGAAGATTGAAAAAATTTACTGGGAATAAACCTATGAAAGTTCTAGAAGAAAATACAGGTGGGCGAGGAAGACCTTTTAAAAACTTCCAAAAGCGATACATAAATCTAACTTTAAAGATCATTAATATAAAAAAGTACTTTTCAACAATAAAAAGATCTTGGAAAGATTCCCAATAGAGTTGTGAATGAAAGAATCAGTATGTAGAGAACAATATGTAGAGTTTTATGCCATATATATAAAGAAAACCATAAAGCAAGTCTGGAGAAAGAAACACAGCAAACTGCTTACAGTAATTATTTAGGGGGGCAGGAGTGGAATTGGTGGGTGGGTGGGGGTGTTAAGAAAGACTCAGACTAGGAAGAAAGTCTTGGAAATCTGTTTCTGGAAATCGTCCAGTCCCTATAGAGCACGGCTGTCTGATCCCAAGTCCATCATGAGGATGCCACGGCACTAGGCAGCATTTAGTTCTGGGATCACCAGGAGATGGGATGGACTGGAAGGCAGCTAACACCAACAAGTGGGTACAAAGTGATTATCTTATTATGTCTTTTATCGACACTTAATTGACCAACCCATCAGCAGCTTTAAAACCATACATTTTTTTTGTCTTTCTTTTTTAAAATTGTGATTTGGGTGAGGATTTACAGAGCAAATTCACTTTCCATACAGCAGTTCATATATACTTTGTCTCATGTCATTGACCACAGTTTACCACAATGCAACAGCTCCCCTCCCACTTCCTCCCTATAGTTACCTCTTCCCAGTGTCCATCCCTCCATACACTCCTGCCCCCTGAGCTGTCTCCCTGTGCATAAGCAGCCCTTCTTTCTCCCATGATTGTTTTCTCCAAGGAGTGTATCTCCTTGAAGTAAATGTTTAACTCATATGCCTGTATTTTGTAAAACCATACATTTTGAAGTTCGAATGGAAAGTCTCCCTCTTGTCAAAGTCTCCCTCTTGTCAACTGCCAAAGTTACTGCGGCATTGATGAAGTCCCTCGGTGCTTACTCTTCCTGGGAAGCAGGGCTGTAAGAAGAAGTGGAGTGTGCTGTATAAATGCAGGGCTTTGTAGGCACAGAGGGAGCTCCTAGGTGATGGTCGGAAGAATGATGGTGGGTTTCCACTTTAACTTCCTCCCTTCCTTTATTTCTCACATATATTTGACAGTTAAGAATATGTCTTAAGTGGGAAGAACATTGTCGCAGTGTGAGGATTGCAGTAAATTTCACAAAACAGAATATGTGTTGATTGTTTAATGGAAAACCAATTTGCTCTGTAAACTTTCACCCAAGTCACAATTGGGGAAAAAAAAATTCAGTAGCTGTCTTAAGTTGGGCTCCTTAGAAGCAGAGTCTGAGACAGAGATTCTGGTGCAAGTGATATTTATTGAGAGAGTGTTCTCAGGGAAAAGCTGTATGAGAGTGAAGAAAGCAAGAGAGGACAGGGCAAGAAGCTAGGCAAAAATAGGATGTCCAGAGAAGTGTGACTTTGGCCTGTTCCCACTGGGAGCAGTCACAGAGTTTGTCCCATCCTGAGAGTGCCAGGGAGGAGCTGGCTGTTCTATCCTTGCTTTTATCAGTCATTGTCCATGGGCAGCCACCCGAGGGAGGGGGATACTGAGATCCCACGTAACTCTGGGTTAGTTGTCTTCCATCCACCAAGGGTACTTCTCCAGAGGAGGGGATAGGTGAGCCATTAGCACTGGCAGCAGCTGGGAGAGGAGTGGGCTGGGCTGGTGGAGGGGCTCGTCCCACCATTTGCTATGTCTGTGGTGCATTAATTGATTAATGTATTTTCATTTTGTTCAGCTGTCCGACTTTTTAACCTGCATGTTGGAACACTATGCAAACTATTATGGGGAAAACCCAGGTAAGTAAAAATACTCAGTCTTAAAAAATAGTCATTAAGTCCTGAGTTGTCCTCATCAAGGGTTGCAAATTCTAAGATGGAGGCACACTAAGGAATTAAAAAGAAGCCCCAGTCTTATGTATGTGACATCAAACAACTGGTGAAATCAGTTCAACTGTTTTTTTTTTTTTTTTTTTTCCTCCTTTCTGAATGGTGCAGGTGAAACTGGCCATTTAAAATTCTCACTTTTCACAAAACTGACCTAGCATTAATTTGTTGAATACCTTCTCTGAACCACAGTCTGCAGATGATTAATGGTGTCTTAGTAAAGAGGATCTTATTTTTCATCCACAAAACTATTGTGCTAAGCACTCAAAGTACCTCGACTATTTCATACAGCAGATTGGGAGAAGGGGGAATGACATACTTAACAGAATTGGCCCCATCATCTCTCAATAGGCATTCTGAAGAAGAGATGGGCAGCATAGGTGTGGTTCATAAATGATTTAAAATTATTCTTCACAAGGCATATTTCCCCAGCAAATTAAAATCTGCTTGTTATCTCCAAGGCAGGTGTTAGATTTAAAAACTCAATTTTCTTTAATCTGGGCCAACCATTGTTTTACTCAACTTAAAATGTGTAGTGCAATCAGAGTATATTTTAAAGAATCTGATCAGTACCCTTCAACATGGTAAAAGAATGGTGTTTTAATGGCATGATTTGAGCTAAGTGCAATGTATGAAACTAATTAGTCTTTGATGAGCTGTAGAAGCTTTCTAAATGGAATAGCCAAACCTGAGGAGTGGGGAGTGGGTGGAAGTGAGTACTTTGCCATTTTTCTTTCCTTTAGATAATTGCAATTTGAAGACAGTTGTTTGCACTTCATGTTTTGTTGGCAAGAATATTTTTGGGAGGAAATATACTAATGACGAAATGAAACAGCCCTCTTTCTGCTAATGACCTAATACTTCAATCCAGACTGTGCATCGAAATCACTTATGGCCTTTCATAGCCACAGATGGCTGGGTTCTAGCCCAGAGCTGTTTACTCAGATTCTGTATTTTTAATATGCATTTGAAAAATTGCTACAGGTGACTTAAAAGTATTAGAAAATGTGTCTGCCAAAGAAGGGGACAGTGCTTTAATCTTCTTCGTTAAACTTGGAGTATAACATACATTATAGAAAAATACACAAATCATAAGCATAGGATTCAATGCATTTTCTCTAAGTAAACATAACCACGTGACCTGCATGGAGAACAAGAAGTAAAATGTCATCAGAGCCACAGAAGCCCTCTCCAGCCCCCTTCTAGTCAGTACCCAGAGCCCCCACCCCATAACTGCTTTCCTGACTTCTGAAAGGTTAGGGGTTTGAACCCACCCAGTGGCTCCATGGGAGAATGACCTGGAGATATTCTCCCATAAAGATTTAAGCCTACTGCCATCAAGTCAATTCTGACTCCTGGAGACCCTATATAACAGAGTAGAACTGCCCCGTAGGGTTTGCAAGGCTGTAAATCTTTGCAGAAGCAGACTGCCTCATCTTTCTCCTGCAGTGTGGCTGGTGGGTTGAAATCACCGATCTCGTGGTTAGCAGCTGAATGCTTTAAAAAATTAAAGCCTAGAAAACATGGGCTCACTATGAGTCAAAATCAGCAAAGTGACCCTTAACAACAATAACAACATGCTCTATATTAATTTGACTTGTTTTTGAAATTATTTATATACTTGGCAGCATACAGTGTATGGATACAGACTTTGGAGTCTGGCTTCTTTTGCTAAGCATTGTATTTGTGAGTCACTCATGTTGTTAAAGTTTGGTCATTCTTGTTGCTAAACAGTATTCCGTTTTATGAATATGCTATCATTTATCCATTCTATTGGAGGAGCTCTGGTGGTGTAGTGCCTAAGGCATTTGACTGCTAACCAGAAGGGTAGTAGTTCAAACCCACTAGCCACTCCTCTGAAGGAAGATTGGGCAATCTACTTCCGTAGAGATACTGCCTTGTAAACCCAAGGCAGGGTCGCTATGAGTTGGATCCAACTCGACGGCAGTGAGTTCGGAGGGTTTTTTTTTTTTTGTTTTGTATTTTTTATAGACATTTGGGTCTATTTCAGTTTGGGCAATTTATATAGTGCTGCTATGCACATTCTTGTACGTGTTCCTTTTAGTGAACATATGTATTCATTTCCAGTTATCTACTACTGCATAACAAACAAAATTTAGCAGCTTACAAACAACAGCCATTTTATTGCTTGTGATTCTGTGGGCCAGGAATTTGAACTTGGCTTGTAGGGGGTGGCTTTTCTCTGTTCTCTGTGGAGTCAGCTGGGCTCACTCCAGATGGTTTTCACTCACATGTTTGAGACTTTGATGTTGTCCCTTCACTTGGATTCCTCAACTCTCTTCACATAGCCTCTAAGTGCAGCGGATTATCCTGGACTTCTTTACGTAGCAGCTGGGTCCCAAAAGGGCAAAGTCAGAAACTGCCAAATCTCTTAAGGCATATGCTCTAGAACTCACACAGAATCAGTTCTGCCGTATTCTGTTGGTCAAAGCAAGTCACCAAGCCAGCTGCAGATTCAAAGAAGTTACAAAAAAATCCATCTCCTGACAGGAGGAGTGGTGGTGTTACATTGCGAAGGGATCTGGACACAGGGAGGCATGATTCATTGGCGCCATTATTATAAAGATGTACTACAACCCAGGAGTGGAATTTCTAGCTTAGAATATATATATGTTCAGTTTTATTAGATACTGACAGTTTTTTAAAATGGCTGTACCGAGGTACACTGCCACCAGTGTATGAGTTTCCTTTGTTCCATAAGTCTGTCAAAACTTGAAATTGTCTTTTTCATTTTAGCCATTCTGACAGGTATGTAATGATATCATATTTTTGCTTTGATTTGCATTCATATGTGTATTGGTCACATCTCACTCACTCACTGCTGTCAAGTCCATTAGAGTCGACTCATAGTCACCCCCTCCTTGGGTTTCTGAGGCGGTACCTCTGTGGAAGTAGATTGCCCAGCTGGTAGGTTTGAACCACTAGCCTTCTGGTTAGCAGTCAAATGCCTTAGGCACTACACCACCAGAGCTACTCCTTATTGGTCACATGGATATCCCATTTAGTGAAGTGCCTGTGCAGATCCTTTGCCTATTTTTCTATTAGGTTATCTTCCTTTTTCTTATTAATTTGTAGGAGTTCCTTTAAAAAAAAAAACCAAAAAACCCAAACTCACTGCCGTTGAGTTGGATCTGACTCATAGCGACCCCTCCTTGGGTTTCCGAGGCAGTGTCACTACGGAAGTAGATTGCCCAACCTTCCTTCCAAGGAGTGGCTGGTGGATTTGAACCACCAGCCTTCTGTTAGCAGTCAAGTGCCTTAGGCACTAAGGAGTTTTTTTAAGTATTCTAAATAAGAGTCTTTGTTAGATAAATGTGTTGCAAATATCTTACCACAGTCTTTGACTCTCCCCCGAAACCCAATCTTTAAGTGGCCTCTTTTGGTGAACAGATTTTCTTCATTTTAATGTGATATAATTTTTCCCCTTTGTGGTTAGTGCTTTCTGTATCTTGTTTAACACATCTCTACTTGATGTAAGAATGTATGCATATGCTTGCTCATATATGCAAAAATAAACACAAGAAGGGTAAACCAGAAACTGATGACATTGTTTACCTGTAGGGAATGGACAGGACTAGGGTAGAAAGCATGGGAGAACAGAGATTGGGTAGAAGGAATGAGGGGGTGGCTTTTGAATAAATGTTTTTGTATGGTTCTGAATCTTAGAACCATGATAATGTCTCACATCTGTAATAAAAAGAACTAAATTATGAAAACCAGGAAGTGTGTGTGTGTGTGTATGCATGTGTGTAATCCAAAAGTGGAATGCAGACTGTGAAAAATGAACCTAACTGCATTCCAAATGAATAACATCACCATCTGAAGGAAGTGGGAAAGAAACAAAATAAAGAACTTTGGAAAATAACTTTTTGACCCTAATGTGCTTAGGGGAGGTTTCATTTTTATTTAGCCTGCTTGGGGTTTGCTGAGTCTTACATATCTAAGTTGATGTTTTTCATCAAATTTAGGAAATTTTCATCCATTAATTATTTAAAATATCTTTCTTGTCTAAATACCTTGTTGTTAATTCTTTTCCATTGCCTTTAAATTTAGAAGGCCCTGAAATGTTTAAAATGAGGATCACCATGCCTGTGTCTCTTGATTTTTTAACGGTTTGACTTTAAAAATTTTTTAACATTTCATCAATTTTGGATTTTGTATATTCAACTAGAAAATAAAATTTTAAGGCATATTGATTGAGAATAATTTAAAGAACACAACTACAAAGAAAATTTCCCAGTAGTTAACGAATTTTTCCTGCACCAGAATATATTTGATAGTACAGTTGATCCTTGAACAACATGGGTTTGAACTGTGTGAATCTACTTATTCTGGGATTTTTCTCAAGATACGGATCTTGGACAAATTCCAGAGCTAATAGATAGCACACCAGAGGAGTGAACAGAAGACGACTAGATGGAGATGAGTTTTTCTGAACCAGTGCCAGACGATGAGGAAGAAGACGGAGAAGAAGCAGTGCCAGAAAACAAACTGATATTAGACAGTTTGGCAGAAGGGTCCCAGTTATTCAAGACTGCTTTCGATTTTTTTTCCTGACATGGGTCCTTCTGTGATATGAGTACTCAAACTAAAGCAAATGGTGGTAGAAGGATTGATACTGTATAGGAGCATTTTTAGAGAAATGTCAAAGCAAAAAGTTAGAAGAATTTATGATGTATACCGAGTGTACCTGCCTCTCCTGCGTCCCCTTCCACCTCCTCCACCTCTGCCACCCCAAGACAGCTCTCCCAACCTCCTCTTTTCCTGCCCCTGCTCAGCCCATTCACTGTGAAGGCGACGAGGATGAAGACCTTTATGATGCTTCACTTCCACTTAATGAGTAGTAAATAATCATCATGCTGTACAGTTAATAAACTGATCTATTGTGTACGTGTGGGTCTCCGAGTGAAAGTCTAGTAATTGTATGACAAGAGCTGTGTTACTCAACTGTTTATGTTATCGGTAAGGCTTCCGGTCAACAGTAGGCTATTAGTAGTCAAGTTTTTTGGGAGTCAAAAGTTATAAATGGACTTTCGACCATGCAGGGGTCGCTGCCCCTAACCTCTGCATTGTTCAAGGATTAGTTGTATATCTTTTCTACTCCATGGGAGGAAGACGTGGCAGTCTGCTCTCATACAGATTTCAGCCTTGGAAACCCTATGGGGCAGTTCATCTCTGTCCTGTAGGGTCACTTTGAGTCGGAATTGACTGACTACCGTGGGATCTTCCCACTGGTTATTGGTAGGGTTTCACAGAGCTTTTGATTTGTGTCTGTTTATCTTGTATTGTGCTACTTTGTTGTGGTTGTTCCTTTCTGTTGACTCAGCTCTGACTCATGGCAACTCCAGGTGTTCCTGAGTGGAAGTGCTCCATGGAGCTTTCTTGGCTGTAACCTTAGTGAAAGCAGATTGCCAAGCTTTTCTTTCATGGTGCTACTGGGTGGGGTTGAACCTCTGATATTTAGGTTAGTGGTCGAGCATAAACCATTTGCTCCACCTGGGGACCTTACTGTCATAATACTGAATAATAATACTAACAAAATGAGTATTGCTGCTGATATTTATTATTACCATTTGACATCTATTTAAATGCTTGAATGCCATCATTTCATTTCTTCCTGACAAACCCGTGAGATCCTTATATTACTATCCTGTTCTGTAGATGAGGATGCTGAGACTTAGAGGTTCATCTCATCAGTGGTGACGTTGTGATTCAAATCCAGCATGCTTAACCTCTGTATTATACTTAGTTCTGTCATCAATTCTGGGAGTTTTTGAATTGGTTTTTCTTGAGTGTAGGTATTTAAACACACTGGCTACAAACAGCTTCAGTTTTATATCTGTCTATCCAGTAGTTACTGCTCTTGTTTTAGCTCCATGTCTTATTGCATTGGTCCAAGATGCCAGAACAGTGTGAAAGTGAAACAGTCCTTGTTTTCTTTATGATTTCATGGAAAACCATTATTATTGATTTATCTTTTGTATTATGTTAAGAAAGCATCCTAAAAATCCAGAACAGGTTTTGAATTTTAATGAAATTTCATTTTGGCATCTATTGAGTATATTATACAGGCACCAGTGGTTTTGATCCAGATTCATAATTGAGAGATTAAATAATTGTATACGTGGTTCAATTGGTCCTTTTCTTTTTCTGGCAATATCTGAAGCTTGTTTTCAAAGTGGCATGTGGGTGGTAGAGGCAGAGATTGTTTTTTTAAAAATTATGGGCTTCAAATTTTTTCCTGTCCAGATTTTACAACTGTATTGGGTAAAAGAAAGGTCTGTGTAGGGTGTATTTTTTGAGGTATTTTCTTTAGAACTACTTGTAAAGGTATCATTTGATTTAATTTAAGATTTTATTATATTTAATTAGTAGATTCATGCTTACATAGGTAAGGATAAATTCTAATTACATGTTGCACAAACCTCGATATATTGTTTGTATTCATGAAATTATTATTATTAGTTATAATAATTATAGCCCTCACAGACAGTACATGCAATAGAAATCTGAAGGCTTTTGATTATTTTCATAATGGCATGCACTATTTACTGGAAGAGGATCTATGTTACTCTTTTTTATGTGGCTGAAAAACAGCAGAAGGATTATGAGTTGATGTTGACTGATATTTTGTATTGAGTATTTTTTAACAAAGAATCGGCTTAGGCAAATGGTACTTTTTTCATATATAGGTAGTCCTCAACCTACTCCATTGTAAGTCAGTTCTGACTTTTTATTATTCATTATTATTACCTTTTATTATCAGTATCTTTATAAATCTGATCTTCATTTGTCTTTAGGGGTTGGAAAAATCCTATATAAATTTACAGATAAATTTTAATACATGTTGTTGTTGTTGTTATGTGCCGTCGAGTTGGACCCGACTCATAGCGACCCCTCCTTGGGTTTCTGAGGCAGTATCACTACGGAAGTAGATTGCCCCATCTTCCTTCCTAGGAGTGGTTGGTGGGTTTGAACCACCAGCCTTCTGGTTAGCAGTCAAGTGCCTTAGGCACTAAGCTACCAGAGCTCCTATTTTAATACATATATGTATTTTTAAAATTTTAATACATACATACACTAAAAATACACAAATCATAAAAATTTACTCCAACAGTGGAAAAAGGTTGGATGACATTGGTGCTTGTGGAAGGTTCTGGGTCATTGGATTATATCTGGGAATGGGGATGGCATTTGTAGTCAGAATATTACTGAGAGTTACCTGTATGGTCCCTTCCTCTCTTTCTTCATGTACTTCATGGTACCATCTCACTACTTCCAAATCTGCCTACTGACTTTAGCAAAGCAATCAACATTTGGATCCAGGTTTTCAAGTAAACTAGAGGTCCCAATTTAGTTTAGAAAGCTAAATCCATATGACAGTGTTTTAAATAGTAAATCATAAAATTGAACATCTGCACGTGAACATCTAAGAATGATAACATAAGCAAATTATGGGCTGCAATATTGTATATAGTACAGATTACTAATGATAAGATGTAAAAAAAAAAAAAAAAGAAAGAAAGAAGATGGTTGTAAGTGCAGTTCATTGTGATTCGAATTGAATACATCATAAATCGGGGACTACCTGCATTTATTACTGAACTTATGAGGAATGAGGACCATAAAATCTGTGGAAGGAAGGGCTAGATTGAGCTTTTAGTTTAAGGAAAAAAAGCCATATTTTTATTTGATTTCCTAAATAGCCAGACTGATTTTTAATTACTGGAAGTGATGGAATGGGTTTGACGTGTTAGTTAGGCAATGGGAAAGTGAGTGTCAACAGAGTATGAGTGAAGGCAGTGACTGGGAAAATAAAATGTCATTTCATGTTTATATCTCACAGAATTGGACTTGCTCAATAAATCAGTTATAAGTATATAAGTAATATTTTATATTTTGTGTGACATAGTTATATTTTCATATGTAGTGAAAGTGTAGTACTTAAGGATTTGAGCTCTGGAGTCAGCTTCTCTGGGATTGAATTCCATCTCTGTGCCCCATGTTCCTGCCCTGATTCATAGGGAGAGAAAATAGACAATTGATGAGAATAGCTGCAGAATCACCTTAAAGAGAGCATGGATAGAGAAAAGAACTAGGGGGATAGTAATAATATTTGCCTCATCTGGTAGTTGTGATCATCACATGAATATATATGTGTGAAGAGTGCAGAGCACTGCCTGGCACATAGTTAGCATCCAATTAGTGACTGCTATCATCATCATCCTTATCACCATGATGCCATGGTAAAGGTGCAGTTTTGGGTTCAACCTGGGTGGGGTTACTGAGTTTTGAAGGATGAGAAGAAGTTACCCAAGGAGAAAGGGTAGTCCAAGGAGAGGGAACAGGGGGACCATAAGGATAGAAATCTGTGCAAAAATTTATCAAGATGCTCTGCATTTCTAGTTTTCAAACATAAACGGGGATAATTAAGTTATTCTAAAATTTCAAACCAAGTCCAAAGAGGAAAAGGACCTCTTCTGCATTACACTGAAACAGACATCATTACTCCTCAGTTAAGCTTCTTATCAAGCAAACATCTTCAACTACCACCAAAAAAAATTGGCATACACAAAGATTTAGAAAACATATAAAAATTACCAAATATTATGACTTACTTCAGAAATTCAGTTTTCTAGTTCTTAACTATAGTTTCTCAGAATAATTGGGTCATAAAAATGTACTCTATCTACATCTACTAATATCATTCCTTCCAAACATGTCCACCCTAAACATTCAAAAAGATAGAAACTGTTCGTAGAGAACTTGGGATGAATGGCTTTAGTAGCAGTTCAGTGTTAAGGAGTTGAAGAGTATGTCATCATCCCATGTATCCATTATCCATTACCACAATAATGCTATGTACTGTACAACTACAACACCTCAGTGACATATAATAGTAAACCAAAAAACCCCAACCCATGGCTGTCAAGTCGATTCCAACCCATACCGACCCTATAGGACAGAGTAGAACTGCCCCATAGAGTTTCCAAGGCTGTAATCTTTACAGAAGCAGACTGCCACATCTTTCTCCCATGGAGTGGCTGGTGAGTTCAAACCACTGATCTTTCAGTTAGTAGCTGAGTCCTTTTAACCACCAGGCTCCTGTGTATAATAGCAATTTTTTTTTTTTTTTTGCTCACAAGTCTACAGACTAGCTGGACACTCCTGCTGATCTTGGCAGGCTTGATGGGGCATTTTTGGGGTCTTGGCTGGAGCTCACACATATGTCTGGAGGTCCTGTGGCTGTTGGATGATCTAGGATGGCCTTGGCTAGAATCACTTGGTTCTGTTCCACACAGTCTCTGGCTTTCAGTAGGCTGGCCTGGGCTTCACGGTAGTGGCACAATTCTGAGAGAGAGAGCATGGACGTATGCAAGACTCTTAGAGGCCTGAGCTTGGAACTGGTACATATCACTTCCTCTGCATCCTTTGGGCCAACATAAGTTGCAAGCCCTGCCCAGATTCATGGGGAGAGAAAATAGACAATTGATGAGAATAGCTGCAGAATCACCTTAAAGAGAGCATGGATAGAGGCTGGGAAAAGAACTAGGGTCACTTTTGCAATCAGTCTACCACATCCCCATTTATCTTTCTCCACCCAAATTGTCCAGATTTCTGTTTGGGGTCTGGCCGTTTCATAGGCAATCTGGCAAGAAGGAACCCAGGGTGTCAGTGCCTACTGAAATGAGCAGCGAAGGCAATCTGTTCTGTAGAATTGTCTTTGTGTGAGAGAGGCCCTCTGAGTATTTCTGCCTGTGGTTTGTCATCTGAGTTTATCTGGTTTGTTACCAAGAAAGAAGAAAATCATGTCAGAGATTGTGTTTTTATGTGAATAGGGAAATCAATTACAGCTAAGTAAAAATCTCTGAGGTGTTTTGCAGGGGAAAATTGCATGACTGTTGTAGTCTGAAGGAGTTCTGGTGGCTTAGTGCCTAAGGCATTTGACTGCCAACCAGAAGGCTGGCAGTTCAAACCCCCCAGCCACTCTGCGGAAGGAAGATTGGGCAATCTACTTTGGTTGTGATATGACAGCAGTGAGTTTGCTTTTGGTTTGATTGCAGTTTCATTTTCTGTAGAGCCTGAAAATAGCAACAGACGTTTGAACCAGATGCAATGCATTATATTTTCTGCTCTATTTGTAAAAATATGAGATATAGGAGTGGGCCAAAAATTTAGAGTTTGCACTTCAGAGCATCAGAATAGCTTGATTCTTGATACGTATGTACGTACATAAGTACGAGGGTTTCCTTGTACTTCTCCTTCTCCTTCTCCTTCCCACTGACTCTGGATTTACTGCTTAGGTAAAATGTAGAACCAGGAAAGGATGATGTGACCCATCTGAATGTACCTCCTTGTCTCCAAACCTCCATTTCTCATGGTTCTATTTGGAACGGCTTGTATTTTTAACATGCAGCGCAGTACCTTATGTGGAGTAGATCTTGAAGAAGATATTTATTTAAGTATGGGAATGTTGATTTTCTTCCTTCTGTCCTTCCCTTTCTAGATGTAGTAAGTCGACTTTTGGGTGGCAACCTTCAGGACAAGGATGAAGAAGACTATGTGAAGATGATAGATGTCCCAGACTCCTACGATGGTCCTCGGCTGCAGTTTCCGCTTACTTCCACTGATATTGACTTACTTACTGACGCCTTCAGGAAAGAAAAGGCAAGTGGAAGCAGATACTGCCCTGATTTTTGTGTATAGCAGGTACTCAAGGACTGTCTGTTGAATGAATTAATGAAAATACTATGCAGAAAAGTTTCACATTAAGTGAGAGCTGCTAACCTGTGCTTAGCTTAGCTACTTCAATAGAAGTCTCCTTGGGTGCACAGCCGCCTCCTCTCTGTCTGTAGGCTCGCAGCAGTTCCCATTTCCCTCCCTCCTTTTTCTTTCCCTCCCTTCCTCGCTTCTTTCCTTTCCCTCCCTCCCTTCCTCTCTCCCTCTTTCCCTTCTTCTATTCTTCCTTCTGTTCTCTGAGACATAATTTGCATAGCATAAAATTCACCATTTTGAAATATACAGTTCTTTCAGTATGTTCACAGAGTTGTGCAACCATCACCGCTCTCTAATTGCAGAACATTTTCATCAGCCCCAAAGAAACCCATTAGATGTCACTTCCAATTTCTCCCTTTCCCCCTAACCTCTGGCAGCCATGAATCTACTTTCTGCCTCTAAGGATTTCCTATTTTGGGCATTTCATATAAATGGAATCATACAGTATGTGGCCTTTTGTGTCTGGATTCTTTAACTTGGCATAATGTTTTCAACATTCATCCATGTTGTAGCATGTGTAAAGACTTAGTTTTTTATGGCCGAATAATATTCCAGTGTATGAATAGACCACATTTTACTTAAGGATTATATATGTATACATCTGTTTTCATATTCATATGTGGTTATATTAATTTGTATATGCTTGCAAATGTATAGAATTTTTGTCTTGAAAGATACTCAAGGCATTCATAACAGTGTTTCTAGGGACAGGGATTTGGGGACTGAAGTCTGGGCAAGAGAGAAAATTACTTTTCGTTGTTGTAAAAATTAGTTTTTACTGTTTAAACTTTTATTTCAACTAAAAAATGTGTTGGTTTTCCATTAAAAAACTAGTTAATTTTTTTTAAAATAAACATCCTTTAAAAACTATATTTTTCTCCAACACTTTTAAAAGAATGTGAACATGTTATTTGTTGTTTTCAATCCAAGTATATTGATAAATGTAGAAGCCAACATCTGCGTTACTTTGAGTATTTAATATTGCACTTGTAAACACAGCAATTGTAACTCAGTTGAAAGATAACCCTATAAGCAAGTTCGACAGCACATAACAACAACAACAACAACAATGTTACTAAAGAGATTTTAGCCACTCTAAATAAGACGTAGAAAAACTATTTTAATAATAGGAATTTTCTGTTGTTGTGATATATTCTCAATGAATATTTGTTAATTTAACTTTTTTCTAAAACAAAACTGCCTCTTAAAACACCCATTACTCTGATTAGTACTTTAAAGGGACTAGAAAAACTGCAATGGCAAGTTAAGATAACATGAAATCAGCATTAGGAATCAATATGTTAAATGAAATTGAAATACGCTGTTATACAAAAGTGGTTTGCCCATTCCTTTAAAATGTGGGTAAAGGAAAGTTCACATTGAAGTTTTGAGTCTGTTTATGGATTAGATTGTTTTGGATAGGAAACGTGGGTCTCTCATCATTAATCTTACTTCCAGTAAGATGGAGGAAT